ATTGCCCTTTGTTTATTTTTACACTTTGAACTTTGTCCGTGATATAACTCTAAAACTATAAGAGATATCACCATGAAGCTTAAAAGGTAGATAGATCACATTGAATAGAAATGCAGTGCAAAGAGCCATTTTTAACTCTGCCTTGCCTTATTTTGGAGATATTGCTCTTTGGTATATTTCTTTACTTTGAACTTAGTGACATAGCTCTGAAAACATAATAGTTTGTAGGTAGATTGATCTCATTAAATAAAAGTGCAGCGCAAAATATCCTTAACTCTGCCTTGCTTAATTTTGGAGTTATTGTCCTTTGTTCATATTTACACTTTGAACTTTGTCAAGGACATAACTTTGACACTTCAAGAGGTATATTTTTCTGTGTCCAAAACCTCCTCGGGGGAGCATCAACCGGTTCTTATCAAGAGTCTTGGGGCATTACTTCTATATTGTATACAAATAGATTGATAACAGCTTGAAACACCTTAAATTTAATAGATTTCTCTACTATTCTTGGTCTTGCAACAAATTAGGCCCCATCAGTGCTTTCAGTACTTTGATTAACCAACGCTTCAATTTCCTGAAGATACCATTGGCAAGCTTCGAAATGTAAACACAACTGACCTACATGAATTCCATGCATTTATGGTATCGCGTGCATAAAACAGTCGGTGGATATATTCTTCTAATGAATAAATATATGTTACTATCTAATCGTATATCTCTTACAAGCTGTATACATTTAATCAAAATTTCCTAACCGTGTCACATGTTTTTTTGCGAATTCATGACGACTGTAATGTTTCCCGAACAAAAGCAGGGAAACAGAAAATTTCTAAAGCAAGATGGCCGTAGATCGCTCACCTGACCCATCAAACTCATCCGAACAATTACCTAGACAAGCGTTCTCAAACCAATATCCAGGATATTTGAATTAAAACAGTAGCCACTAGAGTGTTAACAAGATTTTTCTATTTTTAGTTCCTGTAAGCTAGTTTTTCATCCGAGATGTCCCATGTTTAAACTCATCCGAGCAATTATCTAGACAAACATCCTGGCCAGATTTGATTAAAGTTGAGTCAAAAATGTGACCACTAGACTGTTAACAAGGTTTATCCATATTTGAGCGGTGTGACCTAGTTTTTGAACCCAGGTTACCCATATTCGAACTTGACCTAGAAACCATCAAAACAAACTTTCAGACCGATTTCCAGGATATCTGGATCATAACAGTAGCCACACAACAAGATTTTTGTATTTTTAACTCCTGTGACCTAGTTTTTCATCCGAGATGACCCTTGTTCGAAATCATCTGAGCATAATTTAGACAAGCATCCTGACCAAGTTTGATGATCGAGTCAAAAATGTGACCGCTAGAGTGATAACAAAGTTTTTCTATTTTTAGCTACTGTGACCTAGTATTTCATCCGAGATGACCCATGTTCGAACTCATCCGAGCAATCACCAAGAAAAGCAACCTGACCAAGTTTGATGACAATTGAGTCAAAAATGTGACTACTAGAGTGTTAACAAGGTTTTTCTATTTTCAGCTCCTGTGACCTAGTTTTCATCCGAGATGACCCATGTTCAAACTCATCCGAGCTATCACCTTGACAAACACCCTAACCAAGTTTGATGATGATTGAGGCAAAAATGTGTCCGCTAGAGTGTTCTATTTTTAGCTCCGGTGACCTAGTTTTTCATCCCAGATGACCCATGTTCGAACCAATCCAAGGTATCATCCTGACAAGGTTTGATGATGATTGAGGCAAAAATATGACCACTAGAGTGGTTACGAACAAGTGTGGACGAACAACGAACGGCAGACGACGGACGAAGGACGATGGACATTCAACGATCCTAAAAGCTCACCCTGAGCTAGCTCAGGTGAGCTAAAAACTTTTCATGACCAAAAATCTACGTTGTTATCGTCTCACACACGTGTCAATGACCTATATTTTCGGAAGCGATAATACAAGGTAAACAATAAAAATTATTTAACAATTTTTATTTATTTTTACGTTAATACTTTTACATATAGTGTAGATATCACTTTTACCTAAATTATGTTTCTTTATCATTTCACCCTATTCACGTGTTTATCAAACAGTCTTGATGAATTTCCCCGGATGTGATGATTCCGTGAAAATAAAATGCATGTATTTTATTTGTTAGAGAATTATGACCGGTTCTCGACATATAAGCGCAGCATGTCTCTTGATTTACAAGAACAGTAGTTTAAGAAACGAACATTGGCCGCTGTATATGTAAAAGGGGTAAACAAAATGAAATGATATTTATAATACAACAACTGTTGATCAGGATTAAATATAAGAGAACAAAATATACTTAATGACATAAAAGCCTGTAAAGTTTCTGAGATTTGACAAGAACACCCCCAGAATAGAACAGAACAGAAATATTATTACTTTGTTTAAGCATAACAAGCTCATTTCCATATTACATATACAAATACATAAATGACGCATTGTCTAGATGTGGTAGACATATGTGTTAAAGAATTTGTGTTCAAAATCCTTCAATATATTTCAGTCCGGACACGAATGAAGTTGGGACGCACAGACAAACGGACGGACATATAGACAGACACACGATACGATTTAAATATGCCACCCTTTGACGGCATAAAAACCGTTGTTTATGAACTTTGCACAAAAATTGAAATTTTTTATTATTTGACTACCAATAAATTTACAACAGTATCTGAAGTGTCCGGCATTATAAATAATTAACCATCTCCAATTAAATTTACGTAGCTTTTTGCGTTTCATAACAACAATAATGTTGCATTTAAAATTATTCATTCTATTGTCGTATAATTTACTTTAGATTAATAAGTCATATATATTTTTATATCTCAAATGTAACAAATAAAACAATTTTGGTTTTTAAAGCAAGCTAAAATGCTTCAAATATTTTTCAAAGATATTTAGTTAATAGAAATATAGCAAAACACGAAGTTTCTCCGTTTAATTTCTGCACAATACCACACTATTTACATACTTTTTTCTATTTAAACGTTGTTACGATAAAATAGAAAAAATAAGAATTCCTTAAGAAAGTCCAAAACGGCAAAATTGAAAATGTTTTCAGGAAGCAGTACTTACTATGTATGATACTACTTTACTAAGTTCGCAAAAGAGCTCAGTGTGCCACATGAAAACAATAATAATGCATATGAAAATGTTTTAGACTCGAAATTCAAAACTTGTGTTTGTTATAATTAATGATATTTTTCCTAATAAAGTTAGTCAGTTGAACTGTATTGTTAATGGATCTTACATTACTTGTCTACTCTAAGCACTTTTATTTTTATCTTATATTGTGATGTTTCCATTTCGATTACAATATATAATATTACATTGAAGTTTCATATGCTGTTTTCAAAATTGAATTAAAATCAAGTTATTTTCTAATTTGCAATTACTAACAAACCTGGAATATAAAAAGAAAGGCTTAAAGGGTTAAACACTTTTATACATTTATTGTTTTCAACATATATTGCGCAAGATGAGGTCAAGATAAAGAAACATTACTTTCCAATAGAAACGCTTTTTTCATTTATTATGAGAGAAAATTCATAATTCGCACATTTATTTTAACAATTAAGAAATAATGTAGCGTCATTAAGCCTCTGTATGCATTACATTTGTCCTGTTTAAAAAAACGCTACAAAGAATTTGTTAGATAGATGTACATGTTCTTCTCAGATAAACTCTTTGTTCAGTTGAGAACAGCAATACTTACACTTGACCTAAAAAGAAAATGTTTGCTTTGAAATTCATGAATTACAAATTTTTACTTAAAATTAGAAAGTACACAATTATGATGAAAACATCTGGGGCCCGTCTTATCAACGGTCGTACGACCATTTTTATCGTACGATTGTCGTACGTCGATCGTACGCTTTTGGCGGTGTCTTATCAAACGTCGCAGATTTCCTAAATCTTACGATTATCGTAAGATCATGCATTTTTTCTACGATTGCTAAGTAGCAGTCGCAGATCAAACAAAATGGCCGCCGTACTTCTTGTGAATCGACAACGCCGAAGGAAAAGCCGGACTTTTAGGCAGCGAATGGTGCATTTGGATTGCCTGAGTGATCAGGAAGTTGTGGCCCGCTATCGGCTTGATAAAGCTGCCATTTACGAGCTTGAAAGTATTTGCCGACAAGACCTTTCACCTTTGACAGGCCGGTCTTTTGCTGTTAGCAGCTTGACGAAGGTAAAAAATAAAATACTACTGTATAGTGTACATAAACCCATAGCAACGGCCCGCGTGCGAGTATAACGTTGTGGGAAAACAATTACCGGATAAAAGACACTAATTTTTTGACACGATACACCTAAATTTGATAGTTTTAATCAGCGTAATATAAGGTATTGTTTAAGTGTAATGGGGAATCTTTACACTCTTAAAACCATTAACATATATATATATTATTTGAATATTTATTCATTTCGTTATTTTGTTAACACCATATATGTTTTGCTCGTTATAAATGCTACATATTCTTCAACATTTTCTTATAAATGCATGAAGTCCTACATGAATTAATGTTCTGTTTTCGTTAGCATTTGCTAGTTTGAAATCTATGTAAAATGCTTAAATAATCAAAGTCATCCAAAATATTTTTTCCAAAACACATGTTTCCATCGATATACAAAAACATAGAATCTGTATTAGAACGGTGGCACAAAGGTGACATGTGTGTGTTTCTATTTATCTCGTGGCCACGAGATACTATGTCGTGGCCACGAGTTACTAAGTCACAGTGACGCTGAGTGTAAAATTAGCGACAAGTCAATAAGTTGTATAAATTGCACTTTTACAGGCTGGTGAAGTAGGGGTATCCTTGGTTATTTATCACGTGGCCACGACTTAGCTATCTCGTGCCCACGACATAGTATCTCGTGGCAACGAGTAAGCTATTTCGTGGCCACGACTTCGTAACTCGTGGCCACGACATAGTATCTCGTGGCCACGACTTAGCTATCTCGTGGCCACGACTTAGTAACTCGTGGCCACGACTTAGTAACTCGTGGCCACGACTTAGTGACTCGAGGCCACGAGTTAGCTATCTCCTGGCCACGACTTAGTAACTCGTGGCCACGACATAGTATCTCGTGGCCACGACATAGTATCTTGTTGCCACGACTTAGTATCTCGTGGCCACGAGATAAATAAAAACACACACATGTCACATTTGTGCCACCGTAAAAATCATATAAGATCTAGATATATTTTTATCAAAGTAATTTTATTTCAAGCACATCAATAAAGCAATTCGACTTTCTTTCATTGTAGGTTCTTATTGGACTTCGATACCTCGCAAAAGGCGATTTCATATCAGAAGTTGGAGACATCCACGGGGTGTCTAAAGCCAGAGCTGCCGTTTACATTCACCAATTCATACGAAGTGTAAACCTTCGATTAAAGAATATTAGGTGAGTATGTGGAGCTGTACACATATACAAGTAATTTTACTTACTTATAATAAATTCTATAATAGGACGGGGTTATATTGAATCTAATTCAATTTAATTTCTGAGACACTTCGTCAATTAGCATCCATTGATATTCTCGTGATTACATTCATACACAGTAGTCTATTGCTCAATACAAATCTGTGCAAAATTTTATCTATTTTTACTAGATATATTATTTGAAAAAAACTAAGGCAATCCTGTATATCACAGGTAAATATGCACCACATGTTTGCTGTATGTTTGGTACCCCATATGTAAAACATATGTGTTTCATGTGTTTTGAACAACATGTGTTTAAAAACATGTGTTTTTCATATGAAAGATTAACATATGTAAACAGTACCATATGAAAAGCATGTGTCATCAAGGATATGTTGAACTCATGGTTATCACATGTTTTTATATCAATAAGTTTTCATAATTATGTAAAATATATGTGAACTTTCATATGTTTTTCATATGATAAATCTATGTATTATATATTCTGCAATTTTTAATTACACTTTTTACAGTCTCTATTAGATTCTAAATGATTGTACATAAATTCTTAAAAGATTGAAAATAATAATTTTTTGTGAAAAACATAAGTCTATATCATACATGTAACTTTCTAAAAAATTTGTTGCAAAATTGTTAGGCGGATTTTTTTAAAAACTAAAATCCAACAAGCAGGAATTTTTCCGCTTAAAAAAAGGCCTTAATTTTTTATTTGTTACAAGGCGTAAATTTTTCCGCCTAGGATTTTTTCAGCCTACAGTAGGCGGAATCCGCCTAGGGTAGGCGGAATCCGCCTACATAGACCCTAGGCGGATTCCGCCTACATAGCCAGACCTTAAGCGGAATATTTAAATGAGCTAAGGCGGATTCCGTCTAGATAGGCGGATTCCACCTTAGCTCATTTAATTATTTCGCACCATATTCCGCTTAATGTCCGCCTAAGAAGCAATATTCAACTATATTCAGTTTAAGACGGAATCCGCTTAACTACATAGGCGGATTCCACCTACAGTCAGGGCGGAAGTTTTCGTACGGCATTTATTAGATAATAATGGTAGCAATATGATATTTTATGGGGTTTCATATAGCAAAGGAAAACCCTATTCCTACCACTTCTTTAATCAGTACATATACTCTTTTCATTTAACGTCTATAATTAAATACCACTTATTCTTTTATTTCAGATTTCCAACTGAGAGGTCAAGATTACATCATTTGAAGAGGATATTCTATGAGAAATGTAGAATCCCAAACGTAATCGGTAATTGATCATTAATAACTGAACATTAGTTTCATATATACATATATATTAAAAGCATTGTTTTAAAATATAATAATTATGCTTTTGGAAATGCTTGTTACATTGTTTTATGTTTAAAATCATTTGATATCATTTCTACAGGCACAAGTGGCACTTCTTTGTATACAATCCTTACTAAGAAATATCAATTCAGCTTCTTTTTTTGTAGGAGCAGTAGATGGAACCCTCATCCCTATTCAGGGTCCATCACAGGATGAGGCAGCTTATGTCTGCAGAAAAGGGTTCCATGCTCTTAATGTTCAGGCAGTAGTCGATGCTGAAATGAGGTACATTATTTTATGTCTAACATTCAAGTCCTGTGTTAAATTACAAAAAAATTATAAAATAGAATCTAATTTAGTTTCTTAATCCAAGAAGTGTCCCAGGAGGAACTAAGTATTTTCATTTGATAACTGTTTAAATCAATATAATGAAGATGAACTTAACCTGGGATGTACTATAACGGGATATGTCACTCGCGCTTTCTTATCAGTGCCAATGTTGGTGTCCAATTGGAATCGATCGATCGATAAGCGCCGTGTTTAAACGCCGTAATCACGGTACATGCCGGGTTGATCGGATATATTCCGTGCATAAATTTTCCGGTGATTTTGGGAGGTGGGCAATCAAAATAGTAGGAAAAAAAGGTTGTTGGTTTCTTAAATACTTTTTTCATTGGATCAATTTTAAAAATATTAATATTAATAAATATGAAACAGATACAGAAAAGTAATTTACCATATTTAATTATGATAGACAATTTACGTTTTGTTATTAAAATACGTTCAGAAATAACTTAATCATTAAATTTCAATTATAGCTTGGTTTATTATTGGTTAATTATTACATGGTTTATATTAATTATAGAATATAATTATGTCAAATGTGTCAATAAACATAGAAATTATTTTGTATTGGGACTTATTATTTATGTAATTAAAGTGTACAGCTGCTATAAACATGTTTATAACATGTAATAATTTTTGGTTTAATAAAATGTCTGACCTTTGTTTTATTCATGTTTGTTTTCAACATGGCCTTTGATAATCTTTGATGCCTTTGATAATCTTTGATGTTTAAACATATTTTTCACATATATTTGTAATTATGTTCTTATTTAGCTTTAATCTTCATTTTTTCTTACTTCACACAATAATGCCCTTTTAAAATATGCTATTGAATGACAGTTTTAATTATAAATTATAACTCAAATTTTTCATAAAAAGATAACATTTAAGATGCAATGTTCATATATGAAATTTATACATACTGATACACTGCAATATGGCATATGGAAAATCGGATTTTGTTCTCTTTGAGGTTTTGATTTAGATTTTTTTCTTGGTGAATTTACAGCTAGTGAATATGAAAATTCTGAGGATGAGGATAAGATAAGTATAAAATCTAAAGAGGATAAAAGATAAAACTTATGTCTGTGATCAGTGTGATAAGTCATACAATTCTGTATCGGGTATAAGAGGACATTTAAGGAATAAACATGGAGTTAAGAATGTTAGAAAAACTTTTTTTATGCAATGTTTCTTACTGTGGTCTTTTTCAATTGTAAATAGTATAACAACTAAGATTCATATTTGCAATGGCCACGTCATACTGGTCATCAACCTGCATACCCATTGTTAGAGTTCCAGCTTCGACCCATTTGTCATGTGACATTTCTGTATGTATATATATGCATCAGACCAGTGGACAATATATCTGTGATTTTTTATACTGAACCACTGACTTATTAAAATTCTTTTACTCGTTAATTAAAAGGCTAGGCAGCATGAAGGACTACCTAGTTGATAAAAAACACTTTATCAATATATTACACATTACAATTTTTTTTAAAATATTTATTTCATCTTATGAATATTAGCTGTACAAATGTAAATATAATTGGAATACAAATACAAAAAATATTGTGAAATGAACAAAGAAATACTTGACACATTGAAATCGGCACTTATAATCTACATAAATTACCAAAAAGAAGTCAAAATGTGCATGAATGGCCCCTACTGCGTTAGTAACGCAGTATAAATATGGTGATAAATACTGCAATATACAGTCATTAATTGCACATAAGATATAAATTATCACTTGAATCTTTGATCTGTTTACTTTTTTCTTAAAGTTTTAGTATGTTTTTTTCCAAGTGTAATTTCTTTGAAATATTTTGGGTAATCTGGAGGCATGCGGCTTTGAAAAAATGTTTCATCAGATATATGAATGCACAAGTAGGTCCAACTTCATTTTCTCTGTGACACGAATACATATTTTAATCCTTCAATCTGAATCGACAAATTCATGGTATCTTTTGTGACCTTACACTCAGTATCTTGTTCATCATTACTGGTATTCTCAAGCAAAAAGAAATTTGTGAAGAAAGCATCTGATGGAAAGTTTTCAATCTTCGATAAACCTGCAATTGAGATTGAAATAATATTATACAAAAAATAAGGAAATAAAAGACTTTAAAAGTGCAAATAACAATTGACACCATGACAGGATATCATTCATGATATCCAATGACACAGCTAAGGAATCTATAATTTTAAAGATGTTGTTTTTTTTTCATTCAGATAACAAATTATGGTTTTCAAAAATTAAAAGAAACCCTACCTATTTCTAAAACATTATTTTTTCTACTTTTTAAATATCAAACGTCTTAACTGCAAATTCGTCAATTTATGGTTTGGTCTCAGATTTCACCAAAAAATTGTTGAAATTTGACACAGCGTAATGAAAAATCCTACAAGATAATTGATCCAATTTTATTTTCTTGCTATAGATATGTTTATGTTTTACTAAAAAATACTAACATGGGACAAATTTAATTAACATATAACGTTCATTTACGGGACAAAAAATGTACATCACGTTTGCATTCCGCCATTTTATTCTTCGGATTTTTGTCACAGTTCATAAAATTGGAACCCGTAAAATTTCATTTTATCTCACTAAAATTCCATAATCTTAACGTTAAACCAAAGATATTTAAAGGATCTATCAAAATATTCTGTCAGTTTTCTTGTAATTTACTTATTTAAACGAAGTTTTGCAGACAAAAATTACCCTTTCACGGCGATCAACACAAAACATCAGTTCGATTGAATTTTTTATTCTATCAACAGACAGAGTTGTTCACATTAGATACTTTATACACCATGTTAAAAATACATCGGATCAATGTCATGATACTTACAGAATTATTTCATTTACTTTCTGGGGACTTCAACCCCATTAAGTAAACATACCGATCGATTTTCTGACCGAACATTTCCTCCGCTTTGAACTAAAATTGTAAAATGGCGGCGCTGATTCCTGATTGGACGAAAACATAAGGAGCGATAATCTCTGTGTTTCCCGTCCCCGTATCGTATGTTCCAGACTTAACATACACTTTTATAACATTAAAATGCTAAGGAGAAAAAAGGGAAGCATACTACTTGCAATTTATAAAAAAAAAAGTACAACTTCAGATAAATTTATTAAATCAATATATTTCCTGTAGATTAATGTATCAAATTGATGTAGTTGTTGTAGATTTACTTATCAAATAAATATACTTCTTGTAGATTCACAGATGTTGTCTCAAGGTGGCCTGGTTCACAGCATGATGCGGCCATTTTCAATGCTTGTGGGTTAAAGGTGAAATTTTTCACAATAAATTTCTCATGACATGAATTAAAGCTGCATTACCCTTAATGGACTTATAATTATATTAGTAAATGCTTGTGCTAACCTCCTACTAAATGATTAAGGACAAAAATATTTTTTCTTTCTGATTTTATCTAGCTTTTGTGAATTTTCTAAAGAAAACTATATGTCATCTGAAAATAACTGCTTTATGATGATCTATCATTTTTCAGACACATTTAGAACAAAGTAACAATGGGTTGTTATTGGGGGATAGTGGGTATCCTCTAAGGAGGTACCTCTTGACCCCAAAGGTGAATCCGACAACACCACAAGAGGAAGCCTTCAATAAACACCATAGCAGAGGCAGAATGGTGGTAGAAAAAGCCTTTGGTATACTGAAGTCACGTTTCAGGTAAAATATTGCATATCATTCAAAGTAATTATTGTATTAGTTTAGTTTATACAAATTTATTTTAGTTCGATTGCGTTGGAAGCTATAAGCTTATTGAAACACTCTCGAATCCGTTCCTGGAACCAACCAGTACTAAGCAATGAATGTAAAGTTTCTTGCTCAAGGAAACAACGGCGTGGCCCTGACAGGATTTGAACCCACGCGGTCAGCAATCCTTAGATTAATAGTCCGACGCGTTAACCACTCGGCCACGCCGCCAAATTGTATTGATCCATTTTATCATAAAGTGTTTCACTACATGACCTTTATTGATAATGAATTTACAATATGTTTAAATGATGCTGTCCCAACTTTGATCTCTACTTCTGGCCCTATTTTTGTGAAAATGTCATGCCACTGAAGTAATGACATACCACATGAAACAAATAACATACATGAGCTACGTCACGACAAAACCAACATAATGGGTTTGCGACCAGCATGGATTCAGACCAGCCTGCGCATCCGCGCAGTCTGATCAGGATCCATGCTGTTCGTTTACAAACCCTATAACAAGTAGAAAAACTGTAAGCGAACAGCATGGATCCTGATCAGACTGCGATCTGGTCTGGATCCCTGCTGGTCGCAAACCCATTATGTTGGTTATGTCATGACGCGGCTCATATATTTATGCCTTTATAAACTATAGTATCAGTACTATATTTTTTGATAGAATTGTTTGATTTTGTATTGACATGTATTTTGAATATATTGAAGTATATTTGGGTAGTATTGTGGGTCCTGGGGGTGGTACCTTAGGGGTAGGGCTTGGTCCCACGCCGATAACCTGTGCTGTAGTACAGCAAAAGTATAATTAATAAATAGAAAAAAAGAATCCATACTTTTCAGTTTAAAATCCTTTTTGAAACTCTGCAGCCTAATTGCTAAAAAATATTGTCTAACTAAAGACTGAAGTGTTCTAAGGTCAATCAAGGTCACGCATAATTTACCGACAAAAAAATAGAAAAATCCTTAGGTGAAACATACACCAAATGACGTATATTTCATCTGACAGTTCTTTGGGCCAATCAGTGCTCTGAACTACATGACTGCTGTATGCGGTGAGTGGCTTTGATGTGGCATATGTCAAAACTTAAAAGAAATCAATACACACAGGGAGGAAAAGAATCGGGCATTTCAGTGTAAAAATTGAGAACAATAAATTTGGATATTACACATCCTGTCATGGACTTGGAGCAACTTTTTATTTTTAAAAACGAAATCATTTGAAGGTACCCTATTTGTAATGCAAACATAACTTTTTTCTTGATATTTTAGCTTTAGTAAAAATTTAACAAAATATTTAATTTACAACAATCGATGGGATATTTCCTTTTAAACGCAAAAAGTGTACAGTAAGATGAAAATCACTTTTTTTTTAAAGTGATCATAATAAAACATTTCTTTTTAAATGACATGAAAGTAAATATTTTCCAAAAGTTATCCATACCAGAACTTACTGGAATATGGAGCCTAATCATTACCTGTAAGTTTTTTAAGATCTACAGATGATAATGTTGGCTCTATTTCAGTGAACCCTAGGCTATCTGGGAAAATGTTTCCCCAGTTCCTACTTAACTTCAAAAGTTCAAACCCTAAGTCCCATTGCCCAGTCACTTGCATTATACCTTCATTTACAGAAACTGGTTCACAATTATCAACCCCAGGAAGAAAACAGGTTTTATTTTCAAATCGAACTCTTGTTCAGTGGGTGAGCTTAATGTTATTCTGTTTACGTGCATGTAAAAAATGTATTATGTTTTAATTTATCTTAGCAGTCCAATTATATATACACTAGTAAAGTAAACACTTTGAAACACTTTTAAAACTTTAAACAGCAATATTTCCAAAGGGCTCATATGGCCAGTTATGTGTTGACGTGCCGTGAAAATCCAAGCAAACAAAAAAAAACCCCAAAGGGCTCATAAACTACATTTTCTGCATCTGAAACAAGGCAATATATCATGTATGTGGTCTTTAAAAAAAATTTAAATCGGATTGCTGCACACCCTTGTTGTTATTCTTTGCCTTCATATTTTACTATTTTGATCTGAGGAATCCCTGACAATTAGGAGGAATCCCTGAATTTAATCTCAGGGATTCCTATGGGATCCCTTGTTAAAACAGTTAGTGTCGAACCCTGAGAAATTTTAGCATTAAAATACAAACCTTTAAGTCAATCCATTTCTTTTTTACTTGTTCAAGCGTCCTTGAACACCCGCTTACACTGTTCACACTGAAATAAATCAAATTTAGAGATTTATAATATATGCTCAAATTTGACATTAGAAAATATTGATAACTACTAAATATATATTATATATACATATATATGTAAATATATAACAAACACATTCTGACTTCACACAAAGTAGATAAGTTATATTTAAAATTCTAAATGTCATAGGTGGTCTCAATGTAAATATTAAGAACCATTTAAAAACTGGCAGTTTTTTCTTAAAAAGACCAACTTCACTTGTCCTGTTTAGGGGAACACAGCTTCCCATACATACTTTATTCATTATTTTATTAATTCAGTAAATATTTCATTGATTTCAATAATTTTCTGTGATTAAAATATTATACTAACTTAAGGATAAGCATATAGTATATATTTAAGGATAAGGGAAACATGAAAAGTAATAAGTGACAAGTGTACAATATTTATTTGCAAATACAAAAAAAGTTAAGAAAGATTAGAAAGAAGATTGATAACTTAAAGGCACATTATGCATATTTGTTAATTCTTTAGAAATGTCAAACATGTGTTAAATAATGTTTGATAATGATTTAGGAACCTGTAAGATGATTAACAACTGAAGTAATTTAACAGCACTAAATGTGCAGTGATGTGTTGTTAAGGTAGCAAAATGTAAACAAAGTACACATGAAGTATTTTGACTTCCATAACAGGACCTTGAATTTATGTCAATAAATTTTTTTTTCTCAAGACATTAATGCTGTTATTGAATAACATAATTTCAAGGTCCTGTACCAGTGTTCGAAATTAGCAGTAGTCCGAAAGCTCCTGACTACTAAATTTCTCCTCGGGCTACCAACTTTCCACAGTAACAAGCCCGACTAGGCTACTGTATTTTCAGAGGCAATATATAAACAACTGGTCTGAACAAATAAATCATGCTAGTGAAATGACTTTTGGGCTAGTGTATATTCCAATCTGGTAGTCTGACAAGCCTAGTTGATTCAAATCTGAATTTATTACATTGCTGTACAATTTACCAATCACTATAATTATACCAATTACCATCATAAGTATTTGTTTAAACTGTGACAACCATTTCTGATGCTTAATTAGGCTTTAAGTAAGAGAAGTATATTGAAACAATAACAGCTCCCTTTTATTGATTATACTTAAACAATAAAAACAACCTTGTTTCCTCAAAACAGAAGTAGAGTTGACATGTACTGTACATGTTCTAGTCCTATGAGAAATATACAGTTGCTGTGTAATATGCTGGGCTAGCAAATCATACATGTGATTTAACAGATTCAAAATTGTATGATGCAGAAAACAGAGCCCCAGAAGTATTAAATATACAATTGTGACAATGAGTGGCATGATTTATTAACCTAAATAACAACTTCTGATTCACTACCCTAACTAACAACTTCACAGTGACCATTGTTAATTTTATACTATAATAATCTAAACCAGTCTATTTTATAGAATTGGTCAACTTATAGAAAGTGGCAATTGGTCGAATTTATTTTATGCCAAAAATTTGTAAAATTTGCTGAAAAATGAATGAAAGAAATAACATAAAATATGGGTCAAAATAGTTAAATAGAAGGATCGAAAATAAATGCCATGATGGTCACCAGATATAAACAATTTATTTTTTCAATTTTATATTTCAAATGGCACTTTATTATGCCCTTAATGAGATAGACTACCCAAATCAGTTGCTGATAAGTTCATACTCTTTTTTTTATTTTTAAAGTAACTTAACAATTACTGAAATACACTGAAAATCTAAGACACATAAAATTCTAATCTTAATATAAATGTTAAATATGAAGGAAAGCTTGGCCTTGTTTTAGTTTGCAAATATGATATTTCGTGCTGCCCCCCTGCCCCCCACCCAAGAAAAATACATCAAATTACCAAAAGTTTTTTCTTTCACTTTTACAAACAATACTGTGCTGTTTTCCCAACCATTTGTGTATTTCATCTTTATTAATTGAATGTACAATAATCTGATTTTCTCTTTTGCTAAAGTCTGTTTCCCCTGAGAAGGATCGAAAATAAATGTCAAAGTCGGAAAAATCATACCTTTCAGTCACATCGACCCAAAATCGGACCTTATCGGCGGCTGTGAGTGACGACGAAAACTTTCCTGTCGCCACAGAAGCATCCTCACACTTGCTGACGAGCATATCTCGCTCATCAGCGGACCAGTTTACTTTTTTTCCTTTCTCCATGTTCTCTGACATCTGAGAATTAAAGCAGACGTCGTCTTTCAAGTTTGACATTAAAATGCGCGTTACCTCCTTTTTTGAAGAGTACGTGTTAGTGCGCAGGCGTAAGAATCGTACGCTTATGAAAATTGTAAGATTTTAGGTTGAACGTACGACCGCGTTGATAAGACAGTCTTACGATCGAGCGTACGACAATCGTAGATCAAAATCGTACGCTAAGATTTCCAAAATCGTACGATCGTTGATAAGACGGGCCCCTGATCCTGTGACATTTTTATATATATTAAATGTATTGGCGAAAGAATACTACCTTAGTCTATCTAGTGTATGGGCTAATTTTGGAATATGTTTCTTTTGGAAATTCTGTTTCTTTCATATATATATATATACACTGCAAAGTGTTTCGTCTACTGCAAAAAAGCGAAACATTGCTCAATTATCTCGCGGATTGCATTTAATAGACTTATGAGATTCCCGTAGATTCGTATACATATCAAAATATCTAAGTTAATGTATAAAGTCTTTACAAAACCAACAAATAATAAAGTATATTGATTTGAAATTCCTTTTTCAATATTTTTGTAAATATTTTTTTCGCGTCTCCATTCCAGTCCAATGCTTCAAACTATTACTCCTGTGCCTTTATTATATGCGTTAACCGTCTTGTTAAGTTTACTTTTTCAAATCACTTGCCCCCGCAGACATAGGTTCGAATCCTGCTATGAAAAATTTGATTTTTTTTTTCATGTGAGGAAAATCCTTAATTAGCTTATAGAACGTCAGTGGTTCTATTGTTCTGTGCAGGTGCCCGTTCTTGCATGAAACAATGCACAGAGAACCCCTGAGTTTTTCCTTCACCAGGAAAGCTAGGAAGTCGTCTTTAAGGTGTTATTGTCACGGGTAATCGAACGAAATGTTTTGTTGAGTTTATATCATGCTTTATTAATTTTAAAGAAGCTGTATTTATATGGTGTACAGTGATAAACTAGAACTATCGCTGAATTCGATTCATACCCCCACCAATGTCCTTGACAGAAGACGACTTGGAAAGGTGGTTAAGGGAATAACTTTAGTGGCACAAATACATATACATAAAAAGAAATTATCTCTGGTGAAATAATACAAAGTGTACAAGTAATACAATAAATACATATTGTCAAATCATGTTCGTAACAGTTACAAATAACCTTTCATTTTCCAAATATACTATAACAAATACAGTGAAGTTAAGAAAATAGCATAATTATGTCAAAATGTAATTAGGAGTGGAAAAACTTTGCATACTGAGCTTACTTGTGACACTTCATATATTATATAGTTTCAAGTGAATATTTATACTGGTTTAAGAAATATTATAGTAAATAAAATTAAAGACATAAAAAATGAACTTAACTTTATCAAAATAAATACAATCTACCCCCCCCCCCCCACTTTTTTTAGTTATGAAACTGCATATCTTACTTGCGACACTTCGTATATATTTGAAGTTTCAAATGATTTCTGTCATAGTTTTAAAAATAAGTACATGTTAAAATTTAAGAACATTTTCTAAGTCAGTTTTTGACCTTCAAATGTGGCTTTGACCTTAAGCTGGCACAATGGTAAAATAGGTTCTGCACATTGCCAAGTTGGGGGTGAAGATTTGAGTCAAGTTTGAAGAAAATCTTTCCATTAGACAGATTGTCCAGTATTGATTGTATGTTGATTTAAAGACTAAATAAGGGTAAAACTTTGTCAAAATGCAACACAGAGTTATTAAACTTAACCTGCATATCTTAATTGTGACACCTCATATATATTTAAGAACTTAAGAACATTTTCTCAGTCAGTTTTTGACCTTCAAGTGTGGCCTTAACCTTAAGCACAATGGTAAGATAGGTTCTGCACATTGCCCAGTTGTGGTGAACATTTGAGTCAAGTTTGAAGAAAATCCTTCCATTAGTATAGAATTTATAGAGCGGACACCAAAATGGAGACGGACGGACCGGTCCGTCGAGTAAAGTTTGAAGAAAATTCTTCCATTAGTATAGGATTTATTGAGCGGACACGACATATTGTCTAATATTTAATTGTTTGATATTTGACCTTCAATTGTGACCTTGAACTGAAACATGGGCAACATGGGTTCAGCACATCCCCCTTGTTGATGAGAATATTTGAGCCAATTTGAAGAAAATCCTTCAGTTGGTATAGGATTTATAGAGCGGACACAATAATGGAGAGGGAGGGACGGACCGAACGACGCGACAAAGTTAATCGATTATAGCCCCCCCCCCCCCATTTTGTGGTGGGGGTATAAAACGGATTGGTATAAAGGGAAACTATTAACGCCTATTGCTCGATTCAGCAATGATACCCTTCATAGACATACAATGTTCTAAAGTGAACTTAGCAAAACGATTCTAGTAATCAGCATTGTCATATTGATGAAAATATTCACAAATATTCACAAAATAAAACATGTAGAAAATATTTAAGAGAATATCATATGTCCCATGCAGTTCTTTCACTTATACTTATATTATAGTTATCGTATTTTTCGTTTCATAATCATAACACAATTTCACATTTGTGTACATGCCAATAATATTCATTAGAACGAACTTGATGAAACATTGCCATTAAAGATAAACTACCTAAATACGCATCTTTTGACTCTTTTTGATTCCCTCGAATGTATAAAATCCCTCGCCTTGCCAACTCGTGCTTACAAAAGTCACCATGTTATTGTATATATTCACGCATAAACCCTACTCTCTAGTGTTATATTAAAGTCGTATAGAGAACAATCATAATGCGCAATTAAATAATTACACAATCTGTTACAAATTACAAAAAAACCAAAAACAACGAATGATAACTTGACAGTTAATTACACTTGAGGTCGTGTTGATGATCAAAACTATTGTTTTATATTCCAGATGTTTATCCTCTCTCCTCAACACCTACATACAGTCACATGTAAAATATGACTCAGTTTGTTATTTATCCCACAGGAATCTGTGAATAAATCAACACTTTCACTTAGAAAGTAAATACAAGAAACTAATATGAAACGTAAATCATATAGCAAGTGTTTTTCTAAATGCCTACAACATTGTCAGACGGTATTGGTTCAAACATATATATTCAACAAAACATTTAACATGTGGCAATATTCACAAAGTAGATTTGTGGATTGGGCAGAAGGCTATCACGCTTATGAGCGTCCTCTCCCAGTTAATGAGTGTTCTAGCTATATGCCGGGTAAGACTGAGGTATTTCTGAACCTTGATAAGAAAAAATGAGAGCTATACATGATATATATGCTTAATGTATTAGGATACATGGTAAATATTGTATTAGGATATATTGTTATGAGTAGCAAAGAATATATTGACTTTACCAAAAAAAAAATCAATTATTCATACTATTTTAAGTATTTTTATATTGTTAACATAATTAAGGGTTAAGTATCATATGATCATGTACTATAAAAAACACTCCAAAAATACAGAATTGTTCAAATAAGAACGAATATTCCTTAACAATTTAGTAAAATTATCTTTGATATAACACAATAGGTTAAAAATTTATTCTTTTAAACTAAATATGCATATGGAACATTTCTAAACCTGTTTTAACTTTCTACAACTAGAATAAAGTTACACTGGTACTTGTAAATTCTAATATTTAAACAAAACACTAGAAATAAGAATAATGGACACCAAGTATAACTATTCAATAACGGAATAACCATATTACATTATAATGCAAATGAAGCACATGTTTCACATAATTGTAAAATTCAAGTATCATTTTACATGTTGAAACAGTCGTTATTATTTCATTTGTATTGAGAACAATTGCAAGAGGTGCATAAATTTGTTTATCTCATATCCAAAGACAACCCTTCGTTGTTATTTTCCCGCCAAAATTTACCAAATAAGTAGCTGATAGTGCATATGAAACTGGACAAACAAATGACATGCCTATAATCAGATTTTACTTTTCTGTAATTTGTGGTAACATCACATGTTATTGGTAGTAATACGACATTATAACAAATAACTGGTTTTGATCGATTATTTTACAAATCCCTGTAAAATAATTGTTCAACGTGTCATATGCTATGATTATATTAACTTAACAATCATTTTACGTTTGAAGTTTACAGGCTTAACAAGGAAAATAACTTCTTTGAAATTCATTTTCTAGGGAAAATAAAAGGTAAACTGTATTTTATCTTTGTTACTGTTATCCTTTTAAATAATTACAATTTATGAAAAGGCATTAGGTGATATACACATTTCTCTTATGTATTTATTAAATTTCTGGATAAGCTTTAAGGAATACAAATCCAATCCGTTAATTATACTCATATAGTTTCATAAATGTAACAAACAATCATCACAGGCTAAGTTTTAAGGTTTATTTAATGATGATAATGGATGTTTCTACGCTCATGAGTCTTCATCAGGTTTATAAAATACTGTATATATTGTGAAAGAATAACTGTACAGTAATAAGTAATAATAAATTAAAATGATAAAAGAAATCAAGATATTTAACGTAACGAGTAATGTACCTCTTGATTCCTGCGTATTCTTGTATAAATTATGCTACGCTTCAAAGCATCTGCTCAAAGTCATTTGTGTAGTCAACCAATTAAGAATTTATTCACAATTAAAGATACGTTATATGGACGTAATATTCGCCACTCCGTCTTTTGTTTTGTTTGATATTCTAACATGCTAATTCTTATTCTGTTATTATTCTCTGTAGGCAGGCATGCTTATTATAAGAATTAAGGATAATATGACAACATTGTAAACTGAAAAAATCTTTGATCTTTATTCGTATAATAATGTTATGTAAATATTTTGTGATGTTTATTTTATTTCATCTTGTTCTTTTTTGTCTTGTGTGTAATTTATTCTCATAATGGAATTTACAATAAAATTGGGTTCTATTTTACATGTTATTGTTGTTATCAAATTGATGTTATACATTGTACATGCTGTTTTATTGTAACCAATGATATAAATTTTATTTTATTTGTAAAGGTGCAAATAATTATTGTTTATCATCATTAAAAATTAACATTCATAGACATGATTTTGCCCAAATAACTCGTACAACCTATGAATATCAACTACTCACTGAACATGGTGACCTTTTCGCGCGTCGTTTTTGTACAGTGCGTTTATATACATTTATTGACCGCATCGAAACAGTTATATAAGGCGAATGAAGATTATTAAATAATCAAATATAGATCTATTCTGGTCATATAATTCATTTCAATAACTAATGATGTGAAGGGGTTTGTAAAGTGTTAAGCATAAGTATAAGACTTGTTTTCGTTTAATATTTTTGCGTCATTACATTTAAGGAATAATTCGGGGTATGTATAAATAAGTAAAGAAATTTCAATCCTGCAGAATACAACGAGGAAATAATTCATTTGTAAATCAAATTTAACAACCATTAATAATTATTATCATATTATCACAATGCATGCAAATTAATCAAACTAGTGACTGAACACAATAAAGTTTTTCAAATTACATTTATGATTATTGATAATGTTTGAATGCAATACTTTGAAATACTTAAAGATATACTATGCTCAAATGCTATATTTTAAATTTTGGTAATTGCTACATAGTCTCTTTGTAAATATAGAATAAACATGTTTTGACTACACTCTAAGTAAATATCTTATGTTTTAAACTCTACACACTATAGGTCGACACAATAAGAAAATATAATGTCATTTAAAAAACTGGCAGTTTCTTTTTAAGAAAGGACCTACATTATTTGACCTGTTATAGGATATGCAGCTTCCCACACACAGTTTGTACATTCTTTTATTAAAATTAGACATATTCAGAAAGAATTACATAGATTTTAAATAGTTTCTGGGATAAATATATTTTACTCTAAATGAACATAGTATATCTTTTAAGTATTCATTTGGAAGAACTCTTCCTCCTACGAATTTAACAATTAAATATGTTGTTTTATATTTTTCTTCTTTGTTTCTTTGTTTGTTTGTTTCCTTCTTTCTTCCTTTAAGCTATATAGCACGGCATTTAGTCTTTATACGAGAACCATTTCTGTACTAATATGAGAATATCATTACATACTGCATGTTTTTATCAGAAAAAATTTCCATTGTGAAAATCATTATTAGTTAGGGGAGATACTAAATGAAATAGAATTCTAATAAATTGTGTATGTTATGCTTCAGACATCTGAAGATGCAGTGGAGATCGATTCTAAATATCGTAAGCATCATTTGAATTTATGAACGGGCATTGTACTTACCTAAATTATGATACATGTACAATACAAGCATTTGATAGTATTGCGGGCAATACAGTAGTCCCCTACCGGTCCCTCAAAAAGTTCTTTAATTGTCATACACTCCTGTGTATTGCCATTTATAATGAATTTGAGGATGAAGTCTGTATTTGAAAATATCAACCACAAAACATAATAAAATAAGTTTGTCTATATCACAGTAATGTGTTAAGTTTCCATGCTTAGTAAGGAAATTATGTTTATAAAACCTTGTCATATTATTACGATGTGGGATTTTAAAGTAAATCCTATAAGGAATGAAGAAGTTGGAGTGAAAATACCAGTTTCTCGAAAAAAATCTAAGTTCAAGGGGGACATAATTCTGGAAATAGTCTTGTTAGAGTATTTAACCTTCTCAAAAATGTCGAGTTATAATAAGAAACATATATATGAAGTTCGAAGTAGATACATTAGGAAATAAAGAAGTTATTTAAAAAAGACAACATTTTTTCCCCTAAAAAATCTAAGTTCAAGGGAGGTAATACTGATATTTTTTGTGCTAGAGTTATAAACCTTGTCACATATGATGTGGTTGATGACCAGAAACTTATATTTAAAGTTTGAAGTAAACACCTTAAGAAATAAAGAACATATAGTGAAAAGCTGAAAAATTTAAATCAGAAATCTTGAAATTCAGGCTATTTGTTGCCATAACAACCAGAATTTTCAACATAGGAAGAAAAGAAAAAGATGTGCATAATCTCCAGACTGCCATCTACCCATATTTCAAGTTTCATAAAAATATTTTCAGTACTTTTTGAGTTATCACTGGATCCAGTTTATGTGTTAAATTTGCCATATTTTCAGACTATTTGTTGCCATAGCAACCAGAATTTTCAACAAAGGAAGAAAAAAAAAAGACGTGCATAATTTCCATACTGCCATCTATCCATATATCAAGTTTCATAAAAATATTTTCAGTACTTTTTGCGTTATCGCGGGATCCAGTTTTGTGGACGGACGGACTGACGGACTGACAGACAGACAGACAGACGGACAGACGGACGGAGGGTAAACCTAAAGTCCCCTCCGGTTAAACCGGTAGGGGACTAATAAGATACCTTACTGTATATGATAATATCATTTTCGACGAATGCGTCAATATATAATTTAAATTTATTGAAAACAAAATAACGCATAAAATGTACTCAAGTTAAAAAATGAAATGGCAGAAATGGCACTAATTATACAATTATTACAAAAACGAAAATTGATAATATGAACTAATAAGTATCTATATATTTATTTAAAAGCTATATTACTTAAATAACTTCAGATTTATTTGACGATAATGATAGTCCAGAAAGCAAGAGGTAGAAGTCCTTACCTACAAAACTGTGGACCAAGTTTAGAGGTAACGTTCGTAGAAAGCATTAGCAATATACCTTGCAGTGATATTTACAACCTAATATTTTCAATTTAATCATTCACAAGTTAACAGTCTTCACGTTTGTATCCATGAAATTTATGATAGGTAATTAAGATGATTAAGTTTGTTTAGACGCAGAGATTTATTCGTTATTTGGTATATTTATAATAGTGTCCAGAGGGCTATGCGTGTCTTCGCCCTGGGTTCGATAAAGCGAGTACAAAGGCAAGGATGAAATGTTATCCATGTGAGTACAATACATGCATATGACGCTAAAATAACCTTAAAAGCAATGTATACTTTTGTTGTCATCATTTAATAATAGCAAAAATAATCTGATTATTCCCTTCGGTCTGGAGACCGCAGGGTATTGGTACGCGTTTAACTTTTGAGGCATGGAGGAGCACGTGACCTGTTTTCGGTACATGGAGGAGCATGTGATCTGTAAACCGTACATGATTGGTTAATTGACCTTTTCGAAAACCTGGCTAAATACCTTTTGCCGGTACGTTACGGATAATCCTCTAGTCAGAATAATACCTAATTAAGAACAAAAAACCATTACGTGATATTTTTAATTTTCTATAATTATAATACCGTTTAAGGTGGAAAAACTTGAATGATGTGTTTGAAAATTATCAATGTTTCTTTAATATGTATCTCAAAATGTTACAAACAATAAATTGTTTATACTGAAAATCTACAAAATTAAAATATTCGTAGTGGCAGTAGTGGCATCTGCCATAATAAATAGAGATGTTTTCTGCGAAAACTTGTGTGTTTGCTTTTTTTTATTGCTCGGAATTATTCATAAAATGGTAGGCCTATTTAATCATTTTCTTAAAAAGAAATAATTGTTTTATGTTCGACCTTCTCCGGTCATTAACGGTCACCAGTTTCCAAAGACCTTCTTCTATATTGATCGATTATTGTCAACTATATTCCTGATGCAAACGTTTATTTATCCACCCACCCAAACAATGTTGAAGATAGTTAAATGAAATATCTTTATATCATCAAAAATGTTCCCCGCAGGAAACCATTTTACTTGTGATTATATTTTGATTACAACCAATCATGTTGAGGTCATTGTATAAGACAGGCATCCAATCACCTGGACCGAAAATAATTAATTTTATTCATCCCCGCAAAAGGGTGCGCCGTTTTACTGAAAAAAAAATTTATACGAGTATGTTTAATTTGTAAACTACGGTGTTCCGTTTGGACAGTCGTCAATTTTTATTTAGTCTGTTACCGCGATGGTGAAAACGCGATGGTATGATGGTGAAAGCGCGATGGTACGATGGTGAAAGTGCGATGGCACGATGATGAAAACGCGATGGTACGATGGTGAAAGCGCGATGGTACGATGGTGAAAACGCGATGGCACGATGGTGAAAACGGGATGGCACGATGATGAAAACACGATGGCGCGATGGTGAAAACGCGATGGTACGATGGTGAAATCGCGATGGTACGATGGTGGAAACGCGATGTAACATCGTGTTTTCACCATCGAACTATCGCGCACCCGCGATTTCACCATCGTACCATCGCGTTTTCACAATAGTACCATCATTTTTGCACCATCGTACCATCGCATTTTCACCACCGTGCATCGCGGGTACAGACTAAATGAAAAGTGACAATTGTCCAAACGGAACACCGAAGTTAACACATGTACTCAATTGAAAATTAAAACCAGAAACCATCTTTATTAAAAGTACCTAAGATTATCATGATAAATACTTTCGGTCAGATTTTTCAGTATTCTGTTTTTCTTGCTTTTAAGGAAAACATCGATTTTTATTTGCTCATTTGTTCCAGTTTTAGTGTGCTCCCATCCTTAATAATAAAGAAAACGAGATTAACTGTTATGTACTTAATAATACGAAATCCCTTTTGCTAAACAGGTTGCTGTCAAGACTCATCGCAATGTCATTTTACAAGGAATAGGACTATATACTGCGACTGCGAAGACTCTGGTAACACAGGGGCTTGTTGTGAAATAAGTGAGTAGAAGTTATACAATATATAATTATAATCTGTTAGTAAAGTGCCTGAAGTTTCTGATGACAATACTATTTTTTTTTAATTTGTGTTAAACATATGTTACAGCAATATGTAACCGTGCCTTTGCATCTCAAAATTGTTAATTCTTGGAAACGACCAAATGTTTGTTATCGTCATGACACTTGCTCTTATAAATGATTTTATAACATATTAAACGAGGTTGTAAATTGGCGAAAAGGAAACAATTTTAACATTTCTAAAAGGTAAAGACATTAATTAATGAACTATTACATTAATAATTGCATAACTACTACAGTGCCAACAACAAGTACAACTACTACAGTGCCAACAAGTACAACTACTACAGTGCCAACAACAAGTACAACTATTACAGTGCCAACAACAAGTACAACTACTACAGTGCCAACAACAAGTACAACTACTACAGTGCCAACAACAAGTAAAACTACTACTGAAACACCAACAAGTGCAACAACAGCATCGCCATGCAGAGCAAATAATTGTGGTTCGTCATATTTATCATGCAGTCAACCTATTATGGGTTAGTATTTTTTCACTTTTGCTTCTTTATAATGTTCCTCAGCTCAAACGATACTTATAGTTAGCTTCCTGCAATCATGTTTAAATAAGTCTTTAATATTAAATAAATGTAAATCAATTTTTAGATTGTATTAAATTAATTTAGATTCATAGTATTTTCTCTTAAAATCATTCAGATTATAGCAGTTTCCCTCACAATGTTCTTAAAACATTCATTCAAAATAAACAAATTACATGATGGGATAAAACTATTAAAAATTTAGTCACTAATGAGACTGTTTAATTATCAATATTATCAAGCAGTATACATCTCCGACAAGCCTTCCATCAGTGACCTTTTCAAGTATTAAGAGAATGTCAATAATTTGGAAGTAAAATCCCCACGACTCGTTTCTGTCTTTTTTTCTTATACTTGTTCTTTTAAATTAAGTAAAATGTTCGCATAATATATAATACATTGATTATAGGAAAATGTTAATTCAACTAAAATCTTGTGTAAAAAAAACCCACAAAAGAAAACATTTTTGCTGTTTTCTAATAATATCAATATTGTATCTAATCAATGTTTACAATATATGATGATACATGCCATGAAATATCAATGTAAGGTACAGTAAGGAATGGCTCTCCGACCCCACTGCAGACGCGGAAAATAAGAAAATAAATGGACAACTAATCTTGCTGAAAAATTGGAAAAAAACCCAGAGAGGCTAAGTAATACTTTAAGAACTTCCAAAACGGCAAACTGTTAGAGTCTCGGATTGAGCCTGCTTATAGACAGTACTGGAAGTGCAAGCTATTACCTCTCATATGAAATTTAAATTCGTTCTAAAGCATGCTATTTCTCTTTCAGATTGCTATGTACTGGACGAGGCCGATGATATAATTGTGGCGAATTCATGGTCACCCTCTTTTACAGCTTTCATACCATTTGTTTTCACATCGGTGGACTGTCGAAATGCCTGCTTAAATACTCCTAGCGCTTCTTGTGTTGCATATTCGTATAACATTGTGGAAAGTGAATGCTCACTTTATGACACAACTCCTGCAGACACAATAAGTGATGCAAATGCGGATTTGTACATACTGAGATGCTCATTCTGTTAGGATAATTTAGAATACTGATTTTGAAAGTAGATAAAGTTAATTTTTAAGTTAGCTTTGCTTTGGTTCATCTTATTATGAATATAAAAGTATAAATTGGCATTAAAATGATCATTTGTGTCCTTGTTCAATTGCTATTAAAATAAGAGCGTAATGTTCAACGAATACCATAATAAAACTAAAAACAAACCAAATGCACTATTTCTGTCTTCTTTCCTAACTACTGATAAAAGTCTGGAAACAAAATGATCCCTCGGAAGCATTAACCGCAACAAAATTACAGAAAAGACTTGCAGATGAAATTGTCACTGCCTTATATTAAACAAATATTCATATAATTTCCAAGAAAGCATTATCAATATACCTTGCAGTGATATAGTTCCAGTGTTTATGAGTTGTGTCAATTGTTTTCTCGTTTAAGGCACACGCATTCTTCGAATTGGGGACCATACGCCGCTTTTCATGGAATAGTACTACTGCGCCACATTGACGGTTCCATGATAACCACCGTATTCCACCATTTTCATGTTTTAATGTTGAATTCTGCTTAAGCCGATGAAGGGGGGGGGGGGGCATGGGCTGTAGCTTGCATTTTCCAGTACACGTTGATGACGGTTCAATACAAACTGTATCCACCCCACATTTTCAATGATTGCAGCTCGTTGCATGAGGGCCTGTTAGCTACGCAATGGAAAGTGCAAGTTACCGTCCACGCCTCCTAGCCACGGTTTAAGCAGAATTCAACATTTAATCATAGCAATGGTGAAATTTTGAATTTAGAAACATCCGCAGATGTGTTCATGTGGCGGTTATCATGGAACTTTCGATGTGACACAGTAGTGCCATTCCATGAAAAGCGGCGTATGGTCCCAAAGTTAAATAATGTGTGTACCCTTAACGAGAAAACAATGGGCGGAACTAAATAAAATGGAACTTTGAAAGGGGATCAGAGGTTATGAAGCCTGCATATCACAGATATGACGTCAAAAGACAAATTTAAAAAGCAGGCAACATATTCTAAGGGTGATTCAACATTATTCAAGAGGAATATTGGAACCACCCACCCTAGTAGAAAAATGCCAAAAGTAAAAACTAAAAGTACCACAAACATAACAATAATGTCGTGCTGAACGATCTTTAAGGATCGGAAATATAACATCTCTGATTGAATATACGGGGGCGTCTATGGTAAGATGTAAGACGTGTATGGTGTAATGTTGGTGGACGCTCACCGTTTATAACGAAAGACGGAACAATTAGAGGTTTAACATTTCTTTCAGTTTTCTTTTAAAGTTTGCTAAAGTGATTGATTTCAAAGCTATATTAATGACGGGATAACTGATTTTGAATTTATATTTCGGCTCCCTTGCGATAGTAACATAGTTGATGTAATTTCTTAAACTATAATGATTTTAAATTGCATTTTCTATTTAAGGGGGAAACTGTGATAAATATAATGGCAATAAATTATATTTCTCTTTGTTTACTAAAAGGAGTTTTTGATTTTTTCTTCTTTCTGCCAAAGATACCAATCTTATTTCTTTTAATAAATAATAAGAATGGAGACTGATCTTGATCTTGTTAAAACGTTAACAATTCTAGCGGCTCTTGTTGCATTTTTCTTCTAAAATATCCTTCTCATAATGGGTACAATTATCTCATTAAAGTGAAGCATATCCGAGATGCGGACATAAATATGAAATATTTATATTATTGAGTGTACTCTTTTGAACTTTAAATTGTTGACATATTCATAGAACCTAAAATTTTAGATGCCGAAGAAACTATAGTAGAAATATGTTCGTGCCATTACACCACCTGCCGAGTTGTTTATGGTTAATTAAACATTATCAGAACATACTTGTGGTCATCTCTATTACAAAACGAGAAGAACATAATCTCGGTTTTTGAAGGATAACTATCATCTGCAAAACGTCGTGCTATAATTAGAAGGGAATCAGCAATATCATTAATGTAAATTAAGAACAAAAGAGGCACAAGGACCGAACCTTGAGGGACACCACAATAAAGGTGAAGTAAATTAGAAAAGGAAGTCCCAACAAAACTTTTCTTGTTTCTATTCATTGAATAATTTTCTAGACAATGAATATTCTGAAATTCCGAACCATACCTACAGATTCTGCGTTGTCTAAAGCCTTACGATTTGATCATACATATCTGTATTAAAAAATAGTTGAGTAACCTGGCAAGATCTGTTTTGAAATATTAACACATTTTCATTGTAGATAGTTAAACATGTGTTTCAAAACGATACATCCCATTACTTCAGGATTGCGTGTTACCGTGGTAATATACCGACATGTATAATGTATTGTTTTTATTGTTATTGTGTATTATGTCGATATATATTCCCAGTACCTTTGTCAATTAGCCAGTGCAACTATTAGAGGCCCATTCAGAAGAAAATAATTGTTAAGAATTGTTGTGTTACATGTTGCAATGAATGAATAGGATGAATAAAAATGAGAAAAATATGGGAAAATGAATAGCACGATTATATGATATAGGACATGTACACATATGATATCATAAATTGACAAACGTACAGGGGATATCTATTATATCATGTAAACAAATTGACAAAGGTACTGGGAATATATATCGACATAATACAGAATAACAATAAAAAACAATACATTATACATGTCGGTATATTACCACGGTAACACGCAAGTACCTGATCAAAATCAATCCTGAAATAAAAATTCTAATCTAAATCCCATTAGTAGTATAAGAGAAGTAGTTGGACAAAACTTAAGATTCCTAAAATTATTTTAATGCTGGTCTTATGCATACAGTTTGGAATTTTTGTGAAACGTAGTCCAGAATAGAGATAACACTAACGGGAAAGCAAAGCAATAAAACTGATGACTGTAATGAGTATTGAATTATGGCGATCGATTGATATTAGTTGAAGTTAAAAGTTGTAAATAATAGAACATGAATGAATATAAAGAAGAAGTACGAATTATAGCCAAGAAGACGATTAATGACAAGAACACACGAGCACGTGTTAGAGAACGGATAATAAATGTTCCTAAACAAAATGGTATTATTCGTCATATAAATTTCCAAAATAACCCACTTAGCACTTTTTTAGTACTATTAAAAATAACTGAAATACAATCATACTTTCTTATTGTATTTCATATACTCTGCGAGAAATTTGTAGTATATTTTGTATGCTGTATAATATTAAATTTAATAAATCTTTGGAACAGAGTATAAATGAATAGTGAATAAACATATGTATACATATTTTCAGGTTATGATACTTTTGTAAACTATTTCAAAACACTGGATGCTCATAATCGTAACGCGAAACGATATATATTTCCAACAAATAAAATGCTGTCAACGAATTAATGATAATAATATTTGCATAACATCAAACTATTTAATATATCATCACATTATAACTAGTAAGACCAGGTCTTAATGTTCATTATTCGGCGAAAGGGGAGAACATTTTCTATACACATCATTTAACTGTCTATTACTTTACAAGATAATAAAAGAAGCAATTATAATAAATTTACACATCTACCGTAATCTCATAATCATAGGTAAAACTTAAATACGTAATAAAAAACTCCAAGTAATACGAGGAACAATGAACTACCTATCATCAACATACTTAAGTCAAAAAACCTTCAACAAAGAAATTGCTAGTCATTCATTTTATTTTATTTTCATTTTTTTACACAATATAGTCTGATTTTATTGACCTGTCAATTATGAATACATTATAGGACTCATTTAAATATTCGATCCCACTTCGGTTTGGACCCTATTGCGCTATAACGCTGAGTACACTTAGTTTAGAGATACAAATTAAATTAAATTCCATCGTACAGCGTACATCTCACGGAACTTACCGAACATCTACGGAAGATGAATATACTGTGTGCATCGACCGTGTAATCAGTATGTAATTGACAGGTTAATAAAACCAAACAATACACAACATTTATGTATATACGTACATACAATATATGAGATAAACGTATAAGGAGGAATAAGAGATTACTTTTTAGAATCTACAAAGTTTATAAATATAATATAGGTAATAATTCAATAGTATCTCAACAGCGTTGACATTTTTTTTAATACCAGACCTAATTAGTATAACATAAGCAAAAGATTCATTTTCGGAACTTATTACTTTACAATATTATAGAACTTATTTGGTATAAAGGAGAAATTCCAATTTTACATTGAACTTATATTGAAAACAAATGTCATTAATTCAAGGGAAACAACCCCTACTATCTTAAAATTGATATCCATTTAAGAGTTGCACCTCTTGTCATGAATACTTTATGCAGTTATATCATGAGAAAGATTAAAAAAGACCAAAGGTCATTCAAGGAGACACAAAAAGGGCAGTGGGTGCTACAGAGCGGATCAAGCCTACATAAATAATCTTAAAACATTAGTCTCAATTAGGCAGCAAAGAAATATATTTTCCCCATAAATTGTCAAACTTTGAAACTTTATTTTTTTTGCACTATATAATTGTGTTCTCAAAAGAATAGCGACATAATTTTTATAAAGTTGAACGCTTGGAACTGTGTTAATTTGCATCTATAGAGAGTATACTTTCCCAGCAGAATTAAATTCAATGTTGCATTATCTAAGTGTTCATTGCCTAGAATAATATCTGTTAAGGTCTACTGTGTGTTAACATCTGTACATTTTGAATTTATCCGTGATTTTATATCTTCCCAAAAAGAAGAACTTAATTGGCAATCCCAAAATAAATGTTTTATTGGTTCAATATGGTTGTTGCAAAAAGAACATAATTATATTAACATCTTTTATTCTCATTTTATGTAAAGGATAATTTGTTGCTAGTATCCTGTGATTAACTTAATACTGAAACCATTGTAAATTTGAATCCTTTGTAATATTAAAAGGGAGCCTATAAATGCCATTCCAATTAAAATCATTATTTAAATTGAGTTCATCTTCCCATTTTCTCTTAGCAATAGATGATATATTTGCTCATAGATTTGTCTACATCCCTTCTTTTGACTATTGATTATCTTGATCATTAAAATTTAAGGCTGAAAAGGCATTTCCTCTTTCTGATGAAGGTGTCTTAAAGACAGCTGATTTAAAAATCTCCTGATAGACTTTATAATGTTTTGATACTCTAAACAAT